AAATATTTCAAAAAAAAAAAAAATTCTGCGGTTTTTCTTTTACAATTTTATTCTCTCTTGTTGGCGAAGACATTTTCTTTCTTTCTTAAATAAAAAAAAAAGTCATTATTATAAATTATAGTAGGTGAATGTTTTCTCGCTCTCTTTGTTCGCTTAGAAGAAACTGTTAACCAGAAAAAGAGAGAGAAGACAATGCGCTCATATATATCTATAGATGTATAATAATAATAAGTTTCTTACCATATATATATATATATATATATATATATATATTTGCGTCTATATCTATGAAACATAATCCTTTATGTGCACTTTTTTTCCCGTTAATAATGTATGTACCAACATGTTCACTACTTCAGATCAATTGAAGAAAATTGTGGCTTCCTACATAGAAATTTGTGTAGGAAGAGTGGCAACATAATAACAACACAGTAAACTGTTCACTTTGCTTAAGAACTGATCCTTTTTTTGGCTTAGAGTAGTAAAATCGAGTTAATGAAGCCATATATACGAAAAATTTGTTTTGATGTTTATATAGCATCCACATTTTTCGATATCCGGATAAAATTAAAAAAAGTATTCAAATGAAACAGATATTAATGGGATAATTTATTTTCAAAAAATAAAATGAATGTAATAGAATGATGCTACTTAGACATAAATGTGCTGTCAACGATTTCTTTAAACCCTATAATTTTGATATACTAGTTTGTGTGTTACTCTATTCTTTCATGAACATAATTTCAGTTATTATTGACAAATTAACAAAAGCAATAACAGTACTAAAAAAATTTAAAGTACTAAAAAAATATTTTCTTACTTCTCCATTGATATTATTCTAGCTCAATACAACAGAAATTATTCAAATTCGAGCTAAAATTTGAACAAATAATCCAACTTTCTGCTCAGATTTGGCTCACAAAACTATTCCTATATTCTGTGGTTCTGATAATATTTGTTATTAGAGAAACATTTAAAAACTTAGCGAAAATCAAGTTTTACAAAAATTAGAGTTTTCACGCTGTTTTCATTTAATATTAAAAAATTCATAATTCAATCGAAAAGCACTAGGATCAGCTGAAAACTATAATACTGGGTTAATTTTGCCGGTTAAACGTGATTATATGACAAAAATCAATTTGAAAAACTGTGTTTCTGTCCAAACGTTTTCTAGAAATCATTCTAGAAAACCATATGGTTTGTAAGTTCTTTTTTGTAGATCTTTTGTGAGTAGGATATAATATAGCCTACATCCTGAAGTTTTGAGCTGGTTCTAGTGCCTCTGGATAGAATTATGAATTTTTTAATATAGATGAAAACAGCGTGACAACTCTAATTTTTGTAAAACATGATTTTCGCTAAACTTTCAAATGTTTCTCTAATAACAAATATTACCACAAGATTCAATGTGGTCGATTAGTCCACTCCTTTTCGAAGTAGCCATTAGTTTTCGAGTGTCAGTTCTAGGACTCTAAAGAAATCTTATATCACATCCGAATCGCTGAAAGTCAAGGTCTCGCTTGATTCCTATTTTGAAGCGAAAGCTTTGGACTATCAGTCTATGCAAAAGAGTCAACATAATCCTGTTATAAACGGCTTGATTTTCCATAGATGAACTAGAAAACCTGTTTTAAAAAATCATTCTGAAAATTGTCTGTTTATGGAAACGTGCTGAAGAAATCTTGTACAAACGAAATAAACCTAGAAAACTATTTAGCAGCTTTAGTACAAGAAACAAGAAGTACATCTCCAATTCTCGATAATTGAAGGATTTAGTCGTTTATCCACAAATTGCTGGCATACATATCAAAAAAAATTACCAAGAATTTTAGAAACGGCTTGTCAAGACTCTCAAAATGATTTATCCTGATCCAATCATTTTGTTTGACGGACATCAATTTTTATCATAACTTATTTATTATATGATGGGCTATTTACAGGTTTTCTGTAAAACTCGCTTTTCGTTTGTGTATACTAATTTACTTTTAGTTCAAAAAAATTTCAAGAAAGAATACGTAGTTCGTCAGAAAATGTTCGGAAGTCAATATTTCTTACTTTGTACGAATTATTGCATACAACAATTCAATATATAACGATGATTATAGAGTTATAATTCTTATCCGTTCTTTTCTCCTCTCTTGAAGGATAAAGATTTGAATTAATGAAAAATAAAATGCAAGGTTAAGATTAAAGAGAAAAAGGAGAAAAATGTCTGTGTGTTTAGAGAAAATTGTTTTTAGCTAATTCCATAAACAACTAGCTACACTGTACGTCAGTGCTTGTTTCGACTGAATAGATTTATTTATCATAAAAAAAAAAGAAAAAGTCAAAATAAAACGTGAAGAGACATCAAAAAAGAGAAAATAATAGATTTATCGGACTCTGCAACTATGCTATGTATATAATTGCAAGCATATCTTCTCAAACAGAACATGAACTATAATTAATTATGTATTCATAATTAACGTGTACAAAATAGAAAAACGAAAAATAAACAATCGTATTAGTATATCAACTGCGCACATAATTGCGTAGTGGCTCAGGAAAAAACAACAACTCGTCACAAGTGTTCATTTAAATGTTACACGTTGAGTTGTCATCTCTGTAGTTAGGGCTGGATGATCTTCATTTTCATCCGTACTTGTGTGTCCATGGGGTCCTTCATGACTTCCAGTACTATCTTCGGGCGTTTTTGTTGGCTCATGTTCACTTATTTCTTTATGTGCTATCGATTTTGATTCTTTTTCAATACCAGTACCTCCACCATGTCGCTGAAATGCTTGCATTGAAAATCGACGATTTTTACGTCGTTGGCCACGTTTTGTTAAATGAGGATTGTCTTTTCTCATTGTTTTGGTTTTAAGTAAATGTAAACTCGTGTAAAGGCGTTTGAGTTCGGCCTAAAATACAAAGATTCATAACACAATTATATACAGGGTGATAAATAATATTATTCAAGGGGAGTAACGCTATAATTCTAAATCGGAGATATGATGAATTTTATACCAAATGAAAGCCCGTGAAAAATGGGATTTAGTGATGCTAAATAGTAAGACTTTGAAGGACTTT